GTGTTGCTGCGCCTGGTAGCTAACAAACCATTTTTCACAGACTATGTCAACTTCCTCCTGGTCATGGTGCCTATCGGCATTGTCGCAGGCCAGGGCAACTGGAGCTCTACTGCCGTCTTCACCATCAACTTCTTCGCTATTATCCCGCTTGCCGCCGTCTTGTCATTTGCGACCGAACAGATCTCCGTGAAGCTGGGCGAGGCACTGGGAGGATTGCTCAACGCTACTTTTGGAAATGCCGTCGAACTGATTGTCAGCATTGTCGCCTTGAAGGATGGTCAGATTGAGGTCGTTCAGTCGTCCATGCTGGGCTCGATCTTGTCCAACTTGCTTCTGGTTATGGGCATGTGCTTCTTCTTTGGCGGCATTGTCAACATGCGCGACAGAGTTACGGGCCAAGGCATGGAACAGAGCTTTGCTTCCGCAACGGCGCAGACCACTTGCTCGCTGATGACCTTGTCTTCGGCTTCGCTGGTCATCCCTGCTACTGTAAGCTTCTCGCGGAATATGCATGTACCCCGCTCCTTAACTAACACCGCCTACAGCTCTACTCCGCCCTGTCTAAGGCTGATTCGGACGACAAGGAGCACAGCATTCTGCTGCTCTCTCGCGGAACTGCCATTATTCTCCTGACGTTGTACGTGATGTACCTCTGGTTCCAGCTCCGCACCCACCCCAACCTCTTCGATGCCGAGATCCAGCACCACCACGACGAGGAGCCTGAGGAGGCCCTCATGGGTCCCATCGCCGCCGCCGCCGTTCTCGTCGTTACCACGGTCCTGGTCGCTATCTGCGCCGAATACCTCGTTGGCAGCATTGACGACCTCGTTGAGAGCGCGCACATCAGCAAAAACTTTATCGGTCTTATTCTCATTCCGATTGTCGGTAACGCAGCAGAGCACGTAACGGCTGTGGTTGTGGCCATCCGAAACAAGATGGACCTGGCCATGGGCGTTGCAATCGGCTCCAGCATCCAGATCGCTCTTCTCGTCACCCCTTTCCTTGTCATCCTCGGTTGGGCTGTTCTCGACAAGCCCATGACTCTCCGCTTCGAGACTTTTGAGACTGTGGCCTTTGCCTTCTCCGTGCTTGTCGTTACGTACACCGTGCAGGACGGCAAGTCCAACTACCTTGAGGGAGCCATGTTGCTTGGCCTCTACATTATCATCGCCTTGGCTTTCTACGTCAGCCCCAGCGACGCCCTGGACAAGGCTTTTTCTACCGTCATGGGTTGAGCGATGAGTAAAATCATACGTTTTTCTTAAAAGTGTCAGAAGGCTCCATACACAACCTGGAACCTGAATTTTTAGAGCTCCGCCAAGAACCAATGACTCTCATATACCCAGCGGGACGTCTTGGTGGCGCGTAGCTAACTTTGATACCAGTATCAAAACATTCCGAGTCTGTCTTGCAAGACGAGGCTCCTGTTCGAAAGACTATCGTTAAAAAAGAGAGCTCGCTCTCGTGTGTGCATATTTCCTTGGTGTGTCTATCTCATCTGTACAATATTCAACGGGCGCGGCTTCTAGGGGGCGGTATCCAAGGTTCCTTCGAGAAATGGGAGAAATTGGTGTTTGCAAAGGCACAAAGACAGAAAACACTGGTTCGCGAGGTCCGCAGTATTAGTGCTCAATTGCAATAAAAGACGTCCATTTGGACATCGAATCAAGATTAACTTTTCTGGTCTCATTTCGCCTTTAGCACCTGGTATCTCGCCGGATACAATCATGAGGTGTCTATGTGTAATATGAAAGTAGACGACGTATTCAACATGGACCAACAATGCATTTCTCCCCATCCGACCATGCCTTTTACAACGTTGGCCTTGACATGGGCGCAATGATGCCCTGCTTCTTGAGGATGCGCGGCTTCGTCGCCTCCTGGAACGACTCCTTGGTAACCCACTCGGGACCCAGAGGCATACGCAGCGAACGCTCGTACTGCGCCTTGGACTCGTACATGTGAGGCAGCTGGGTAGCAAGATACTTGTCGTTCTGTGAGAAACTTGTCAGCAAACTGTATCGACACAACACAGGGACAGAAAAAGAAAATTTACCTTCTTAACGCGCTTCTCGCTGATGATGACCCTGTCGAGCTTGGCATCCTTGCGATCCGCCTTCTTCACGCCCTCGACCTTTGTCACGAAGCGGCCCTGCTGCCTCTTCTTCTCCCGCTGGCTGACGCCCTCGCCGACCCAGCCGCCCCACCCCGGCAGCGTGTTGTCGACGATCTTGTCGTCGTCCTCGGCCTCGACCTCGGCCTTTTCGCGCGCAAAGTCGACCACCACGTCGTCGCCCGCGAACGCCTTGTCCATCTGCGCAATGTCGCGGATCGCGAGGGGCAGGTGAACGTCTTCGCCCTCGTCGGAGTCCACGTCCTCCTCTTCGTTGGAGTCGTCGGCTGCTTTTGAGCGGGACTTGAGCTTCGGCGCGGCGGCCGTCATGGCTTGCGAGTTGTCCAGGTCCAGCACGCGCGGTTGGTGCGCCTTGGAGGAGGACTTCTTGCGCGGGCCCGAGGACCACGCGGAGCCCGTCGTCGAGGGCTCGGCGGTGATGGAGTAGCCTGCGTTGACGGCGCTGTTGTCCGGCACGTTGTCGTCGTCGTCTGCGTCCGCGCCGGCGGCCTTCTTGCTCTTCTTGTTCTTGGAAAGCGCGGGCGCGGAGATGGCGGGCTTAGCCGCTCCGCCGAACTTCTTGCGTCCCACCTCCGTCACCTCCTCTTCGTCACTGGCCTCGCCGTTGGAGTCGATGTCCCGGCGGATCTGCGCAATGAGCTCGTCATTGGCCTTCTTCTGCATCGCCTCGGCCTTTTGCATGAACTTCATCTTCATCAGGTTCGACGCCGGGCTGTCGTCCTCTTCGTTCTCGATGCGCTTGAGCTGCTTGAGCAACTTGCGCTTCTCGCGCACCACATCGTCCTCGTCATCGCTACCCTCGTCATCCTCCTCCTCTTCGGACTCGTCCTCGCTCTCGGAGTGGCCCGCGCGGCCCTCCTTGCGCTGGCGCAGCTCCTCCTCGCGGCGGGCCATGTCGTGCAGTCCCGCCCTGTAGTCGTCGTCCCAGACGGCGCGCTTGTTGGACGCGCCCAGCTTCGCCCACTTGGAGTCCCTGTGGCGGGCGCCCACGCGCTCCAGCGCCCTCCTGCGGTCCGCCGCCTCGCGCTCGGCCTCCGAGTCGATCTCGCCGTTCTCGGCCATGGCCTCGTGCAGCTTCATCTCCTCGCGCTCCTTCTCCTTGCGGTGCACGCGGTGGTACGCCTTGCTCTTGATCTTCTTGATGCGCGCCGCCTTCTTGGTCTCGCGCGAGGCGATCTCGCGCTCCCGCCGGCGCTGGTTGACGAGGTCCTTGAGCGCCTCCTTGGACAGGCCCTCCTCCTCCGCCTCCTTGCGCATCCTGTTCTCCTCCTGCTTGTTCATCGCCAGCCCGCTCTGCTGCATGATGGACATGATGGTCTGCTCGAGCTCGTTGCTCGAGTTCTTGGCCGTGAGCGCCTGCAGCTCGCGGTTGTCAAGCCCCTCGTCCGCGGCGTTCTGCGGCAGGGGGAAGACGAGGTGCTCCGCGCGGCGGTTGTGCTTGACCGTCTCCTGCCAGCGGCCCAGCGTCTCGTTGGCCGTCTCGTACGCCGCCGCCCGCTGCAGCTTGTCCTGCTGCCGGCGCGCGAGCGGCACCTCGAGCTTCTTGCCCGCGCCGGGCCGCGTCTCCTTCTCCTCCTTGGCCATGAGCTTCACCGACTTGCGCATCTGCGCGTCCTTGACGCCCGCCAAGCCGAGGTCCTTGAAGCTGATCTTCTGCTTCTGCTTCGTGGGCGCCGCGTCCTCGTCTTCGCCGCCGTAGCTGGTGATGAACTTTTGCAGGGCGCCGAGCTTCGACGGGTCGACCTCGTCTCCGTCCTCTTCGTCGTCTGAGTCGGACGAGGGCGGGCTGTCGGCGTCGGAGTCGGACCCTGAGCCCTCGGAGCCGGAGCCCTGGTCTTCCATGGACTCGTCGGATTCGTATTCGTCCAGAGCTTGCGCGAGGTCGATTGCGTCCTCGCCCAGAGATTCGTCGTCATCTTCGTCTTCTTCAGAGTCGTCGTTCTAGCTGCGGTGTTAGTGATAGCTTCTCCCGACCGGATATCTAGGTCGCTGCAAACCTCATTTTTGGCAGTCTTGCTACCTCTAAAAGAATATCCCTGAAAATCCTCCTCGTCGCTGTCGCCAAAGGCCTCGTCACTGTCGAGCTCCGAATCCTCGTCCTCGTTCACGCCGTAGTGCCATTCGTTGCCCTCGCTGTCGCTGCCATACTCCGAATCATCGCCCTCGCCGCCGCCGCCGGAGGCCTTGGCCTTCTTCCGCCTCGGCTGCTCCTCGTCATCGTCATCTTCGTCCTCGTCCTCGTCGTCCTCCTCGGTGCGCCTGTGCTTCTTTCCAGTGTCGGGCTGCGCGTCAATCTCCCGGAACCTCGGCGTCTTCTTCTGCTTGGTGGGAAACTGCTCCGAGGCGATCGTGAAGGCGTCGAGGGCCTTGGCCTGGGCTTTGGATTTCGACTTGCGGAAGTTCTTCGGCTGCTGCTTCGACGACAGCAGGGGCCGTCCATGGGATTGTCTTCCGGCCATTTTTCGTTTCGTCGAGAGAGGCTGCTGTGAGTGACTGCTCGTGTGCTCTGGTCCTCCCGTCTTTTTTCCCCATCCAAGAGAGAGCGCAGCGCACGACCATGGGAACTTTTTCTGCCGTGGTGGGCGAAAAGCGGTCAGCCAGAAATTTACAGTGGGGCAGCTCGCACCACTGGGCCGTGGCGTGGGCTGCACTGTGCTCTGGAAAACGGCCCAGGGTCGTTGCGTGCGCCGGGCGGTGTTCAAGGGTCTATGACAAAAAGGTGGTCCCACCTGCTGCCGAGGGGTGCCGGCGACGAACCACTAAGCCGTCCTCGATTTCCCATCCTCCAAATTTACTCTGATCAGCGCATCACCAAACAGCTCCCACTGCGTCGCAGCAAGCACCACTCACCCCCCACGGGCCCAACATGGCGTCTTTCGCACCGGGACTGCGAAGGCTCGCCCTCAAGGCGTCGCCTTCGCTGTTCGTATGCCGACAATGCCAGCGCCAGCAGCCGCAATGGCGCTCCTCGTCTTCCCGAATCCTTGACATCGTACGATCCCAGCAGCAGCAGCAGACCCGATGCTTCAACCAGACCAAGGCGCCTCTGAGCTTTAGCAGCAACGCCGTCGTCGACAAGACCTCTCCGATTATCCAGCAAGCCACCGAGGCGGCCAAGGACACCGTCAAGAAGAGCGCCTGGCCCGAGACGAACTCCAAGTCGGTGGCCTACTGGCTTCTTGGTTCCGCCGTCAGTGTCTTTGGTATCGTTGTCTGGGGTGGTCTTACGAGGTTGACTGAATCTGGGTATGCCTGAACCTCGACACAACTCCTCTGAAGCTTGAGTAACACCGTAATCAGCTTGAGTATCACCGAATGGCGTCCCGTAACCGGTTCCATGCCCCCTCGTAATGAAGCCGACTGGGAATCCGAATTCGAAAAGTACCGCGCCTCTCCCGAGTTCAAGCTCCTCAACCCGCACATGACCATGGACGAGTTCAAGAAGATCTACTTCATGGAGTGGTCTCACCGCCTCTGGGGCCGCTTCATCGGAATGTCCTTCGTCCTGCCGACCCTGTACTTCATCGCCCGCCGCCGCGTCACGCCCAAGATGGCCCTCAACCTCTGCGGAATCTCCTGCCTCATCGGCTTCCAGGGCTTCATCGGCTGGTGGATGGTCAAGTCCGGCCTCAAGGACGATCTCTTCGCTCCCGGCTCCCACCCCCGCGTCTCCCAGTACCGCCTGACCGCCCACCTCGCCACCGCCTTCGTCTGCTACTCCTGGATGCTCATGACGGCCCTGTCCATCTTCCGCACGCGCCGCCTGCTCGCCGACCCTGTCGCCGCCTCTAAGGCCCTCGCCGCGCTGCAGAACCCGGCCATCAAGACCTTCCGCCGCCTCTCCTTCGCCCTCGTCGCCCTCGTCTTCACGACCGCCATGTCCGGCGCCCTCGTCGCCGGCCTCGACGCCGGCCTCATCTACAACGAGTTCCCCTACATGGGCCTCGGCCTGACACCTCCCGCCAAGGAGCTCTGGGACAAGTTCTACTCCCGCAAGGAGGACGGCTCCGACCTCTGGTGGCGCAACATGCTCGAGAACCCCAGCACCGTCCAGCTCGACCACCGCATCCTCGCCATGACCACCCTGACCGCCATCCTTTCCCTCTTCGCCTACTCCCGCACCGGCCGCGTCGCCGCCGCCCTCCCCAAGGACGTCAAGAAGGGCGTCCTCGGCACCGTCCACCTCGTCCTGCTGCAGGCCACCCTCGGCATCAGCACCCTCATCTACATCGTCCCCACACACCTGGCCGCGACGCACCAGGCCGGCGCCCTGGCCCTGTTGACCGGCGCCCTGGTCTTGGGTCACCGTCTGCGCGTGCCCAAGTCCACCCTCGCCATGGTCCAGAAGCGGATCAAGGCCATGAACATCAAGCCTTGAATGGCATGTTCTCTCTGAGGCTAGCGTTTTTTCCTGAGTTAAAATAGCATTGATACCTGCATTATGGCAGCGATTTGGCATTATGGCATTATGGCACATGAACACAAAAAAGTAGATATGTATAACAAATGTAGCAACACGCAATAGGGGCGGAATGCGTTTCACGGCCACCCTTTGAGGTCTGGGTCATCACATCTCCTGTCTAAAACTTTTTTTTCATTTAAAATAGAAGCTCAACTCTAGACTATGGAATGTCTGCCGGATATCTTTTGTTTTTGGTTGGCACCTTCGAGTGCCCTCACGACTAGCAATGATGACAACATCATTCGTCTCTTGACATACCAGTCCATTCATCTATCGTGTTGATCCTCTACTTGTGGGCTGCGACATGTTCAGTCAGACATGAACTAGCGACGAAGGGCTGAATGAGACTTACCAATACCCTCCTCAGGGACGGGCTTGACACCAACGACCTCCGCGGCGGAGGCCTTCTTCTCCGCCTGCTTCTCCTCCTTCATGAAGGGGAAGGCAAGAACCTCACGAATACTGTAGTTGTCGGTCAAGAACATGACCATTCTGTCGATACCCATACCCTGCAATTTGTTAGTTCGTGGTCCTCTCGTATGGCTCAGGAAATAACACTTACCCATCCTCCGGTGGGAGGCAGACCGTACTCGAGAGACATGCAGAAGTTCTCGTCAATGAGCTGGGCCTCGTCGTCACCCTGGTCCTTCTGGTTGGCCTGCTCCTCGAAGCGGAGTCTTTGGTCGAAGGGGTCGTTCAACTCGGTGTAGGCGTTGGCAATCTCCTTCTTGCACACAAAGGCCTCGAAACGCTCGCAAAGACCGGGGATTTCACGGTGGTACTTGGCAAGGGGCGACATGACCTGGGGGTGGCCAAAGATGAAGCAGGGGTTGACGCACTGCTCCTCAATGTACTCGCCGACAAGCTTGTCAATCATGCGGGCGTTGGTCAGGGGCGGCGAGCACTCTAGCTTCATCTTCTTGAGGACCTTCTGGAGGAACTCGTTGGTCTCGGCGGTGTGGAGCTGGTCAGCCGGGGGGAACTTCTCGCCGGTGGCCTTCTCAAGCTCGGGAATCATCTCGAAGCGCTTCCAGGGGGCCTCCCAGTTGACCTCGTAGACCTCTCCGTGTTGGGTGTGGAACTTGGTCTTGTAGCCGCCGGTGAGGTGCTTGACAAGGCCGGAGACGAGCTCCTCGGTTGTCTTCATGAGGTCGTAGACATCGGCGAAAGCCTGGTAGAACTCGCAGGTGGTGAATTCGGGGTTGTGGGTGAGGTCGATGCCCTCGTTGCGGAACTGGCGGCCAAGCTCGTAGACGCGGTGGAGACCACCAACGACGAGCTCCTTGAGGTAAAGCTCGGGGGCGATTCTCATGAACATTTGCATGTCCAGGTCGTTGTGGTGGGTGATGAAGGGCTTGGCGGTGGCACCACCAGCAATGGGACCCATCATGGGGGTCTCGACTTCGACGAAATCCTGTGTGGTGTAAGTTTCAAGGGTTCGGTGTGAAGCTTGCGAATGAGTCCCAACTAACCCTGTCGTCAAAGTACCTTCTGATGTAGGTGACAATCTTGGATCTGGCGATGAGGATTTGACGGCTCTTCTCGTTCATGATCAGGTCGAGGTAACGCTTGCGGTGGCGCTCCTCGTGGTCCTTAAAACCGTAGTACTCGTCGGGCAGGGTGTGCAAGCAGGGGGTCAGGAGAATGAACTCCGTCGCGAAGATGGAGAGCTCACCCTCCTCGCCCTTCTCGATCTTGGACTTGGGTGCTGTCCTGTTAGGTGTTCGTTAGAATTGAGATTCCTATTTACCAAGTCACGCGACACGAACCTTCCGGGGTAACCAATGATACCGACAATGTCACCTGGACCATGTCAGCCTATGTCTCCTCTGCGTATCAATTCTGGTATTTACCTCGGCGAAGGTGCAGGTGCTGATCCTCGAACGACGGGGTGCCCTCGGCGACCTCTTGCGCCTGAGCCATGACCTGGACCTTGACGCCCTCGGCGCGGACATCGTAGAAGAAGAGCTTGTTGCCGGAGGCACGCTTGTTGTAGATACGGGCACCAACACGGATGACCTTGGACTTGTCGCTCTCGCCGGACTTGAGGTGTCCGAAGTCACTGGTGAACTTGCGCAGATCGTAGTCGGCTATATTCGTATCAGGTCCGTTCTTTCGTGGTCCGTAATGGTTCGGAGGACTTACTGTGGAACTTGTGGGGGTAGGGGTTGGGAGACTTGGTCTCGCGCAGCCTGTTCCAGTCCGGTCAGCATATAATTCCATGCAATTGACCCGGATATCAGACGTACTTGTTGATAGTGCGAGATCGGTTCTCAAAGTACTGGCTGGGGTCGAGGTTCTTCTCGTCAGCCTCAGCGTTGCCCTTCTTAGCAGCAGCAGGCTTAGGAGGGGCAGCGGCGGCCTTGGCGGCCTTCTGAGCTTCCCTTTCACGGGCCTTCTGGCGCTTCTTAAGCTCGGTCTTGGAGATCATCTCGCCGGTGACCTCGTCAAGCAGAAGCTTAGCCACCTGCTCGGTGGGGGGTTCGGGGGCGCTGGAGTCGGCCATGGTTGCGGATTGCGGGGTATTTGCCTGAAAGAGTTTGCCTTGTCAGTTTATAAAATCCGGGGGTGTTTATAAATGGCTGGTGTTCTCTTTCGAGGCTGATTGCGAGTCACCTCGGGGTCGGCTTTGACTCACCAAAAATCCTGCGTTTCGCGATCGAAGATGTACCAGTCAAAATTATTTAAAGTCGGGACGAGGGGCACCAGACCAGTGTATTGGCTGCAGCGGGGTAGTGGCGCACACTGAGTCAAAAAAGCAATTGCCCTGACTCACCGCCCTGGATGGAGGGGCAGACTTCCAAAATCGCTACGTGGGGGAGGGGTTATGCTACTGTGATCCTCGAAGTCGCACACTGTATTTTGCACGACTAGCCCCTGAGCCTCCATGCGACCCAACGTCGTCCAAACCAACCTAGATCTCCCGACGGTTTAATTTTACACATCGCCCAGCGAATTCGCAAGCAGCAACTGTGGAAATGAATTGTATGCCAGAGCGACTTCGTTTCCTGTGTGCTTGCTATCGTTGTTGCTGTCGTAGTTGCTATGATGATTGCTGTTATCATTGTCTTTCGCTGTTAGCTATCGTCTTCGTTCGTCGTCGTTGTTGTCTTTATTAAAGTCACTAAATACACAGGAAATACAGCCGCCCGGACGCAGAAAATTTAGGCGGTCTCATGAATTATTAACAGTTTTGGGCTTATATGAGAAGATTATAGCTGTAGTTGAGGCTATAGGAGGCTTCATAAATCTGCGGACGGACTACGACATCCTGTGAGATGAGCGACTCTCATGGGGTGTCTTGCCAAGGTTCTCAGTCTTACCAACATCTGAACGAGCCTTTATCGCTGATGTTATGATACTTTCCCCATGTTGGATACAGGTAGTGTTTTGCAAAAAGAATTGAAGCAAAGATCCAGAAAGCAAAAGTTCAGGGCAATCTGAGTCGAACCTGCCAGCCCCCTCCGCTAGCCCAAATTGGCGATTCTTGGGTTCCTCTTTCCGAAGTGCATCTATGAAAGAAGCTCCTGAAAGATATGGAACCCAACGCCTTCCCAAACAACCTGCATTGGGGATCTAGGAGGGCACCACCTCGTCTCCTGCACCACATGCGAACAACCCCTTTCCCCCTGAAAGATGTCGTCGTTGATTTTCTTCAACTTCACACTCCACACACTTACCGTTCGCGAATTCCAACATCAGCCACAACATAGGAAAAAATAATCAAAGCATCTCAAATCAGGATAACCTTCAATGGCTGACCCAAATAAGAAGACAACGGCAAGCAAGAGGACAAGGGCAAGAGCAAGAAGAAGAGAGGCCAAGAGGGCCAGGGAAGAACAGGCTAGGCAACAGCAGGCCAGAGAGGAAGAGGCGAGAGAACAGCAGATCAGAGAACAAGAGGCCAGAGAACAGGGCACAAAAGCTAGAAAGGAGTTTTAGGAGCCTCTGTATGTCCCCATCTGTTGTCGTTGTTGAAAAAAAAAAAAAAAAAACTGACCGATGTTCCAAGGCACGCGCTCCAGAATGATCTACGCATCAAGTTCCAGGCCGTCAGTAATTTGATGAGAGACCTATACCAGCAAGCACCAAACCCGTACGATATCAATGATACCAAGCGCATGCAACAGTCAGCCAGGCCAAGATGGGTCAGGACACGAGTGCAACTCTTTCACGCCATGATCACACTCAAGGCTGCCGAGGAGCCCCTTCTGGACTGCGCAATGGGGTACCGGGGTCGGATGACTGAGGACGAGTGGATCAGGGTGTTAGAACAAGTAATGGGACTATTAAATGCGATCAAAGCTGCTGGCTGCGACAAGCTGTACGCTGACCTCCTCGGACCGGAACTGGCAAGCCGGTGAGTTACGAAGCAGACTGTTGGGCAAAGCGGAAGAGAAACTGAGCGATTATTGATTGATACGGCTGTTATTCACTCTGGGACCTCTCTTCTACGGGTAGAAAGCGATGCTATTGACTGCAGACAAACCAGATAGTACTACGAATCATACTTCTTCATAATCTCCCTCAACCGATCCAAAGGCAGTGCTTCGATCGTCCGGCCGCAGAAACCGGTCATGGTCTCGGCAGAGCACAACACGTTGTAGATACTCTCCTCCGTCGCATCGGCCGCAGCCTCGAACAGTCCGTTGATGCTGGTATCGTCAATGGACTCAATCTTCAACGCCTTCGCCTTCCACGGATCGACCTCGCGTCTCTCCATGCTGATAGTCTGCACAGGGATGTGGTTGCCGGTGGAGAAGGCGAGGAAAATGTCGCCGGACGGGTTGTGGCCGTACCCGCCGACCCTCGACAGCCCGACCGTCGCTCTCTTGGCGAGCCTCTGGCACTGGATGGGCGTCAGGGGGGCGTCGGTGGCGATGATGACGATGATGGAGCCGTCCTTCTTGTCCTTGTGCTTGGCAACCTCGACGAAGGAGTCGGCCTTCTCCTTCTCGAGGATGCGGCCGACGGGGAACCCGCCGATGCGCAGGTGCGCCGCCTTGCCGTAGTTGGCCTGCACCAGCGCCGCGACGGTGTAATTCTTCTTGTTGCCCTCGCCGTCGAATCCTTCGACAACACGACTGCTCGAGCCCGTGCCGCCCTTGAAGTAATGGCAGATCATGCCCGTGCCGCCACCGGTGTTGCCCTCCCGCACAGGAGCATCCGTGGCCGTCTCAATGCCGTTGATAACGTCCGAAGGCTTGACGGCCAGCTTCGAGATGTCGTTCAGATGCCCGTCGAACGTCTCCCCGACAACGGGCAACAGGAACCACTCCACTTCGCCCTTCTCGTTGGAGTACTTTTTGATGGAGTACTCGTAGATGCCGCGGTAGCAGTCGCCGACAGAGAAGGAGTTCGTCAGGACGATGGGGCTAGCGAGCAGGCCCGTCTCCTCGATCCAATGCGACCCGGTCAGCTCGCCGGAGCCGTTGAAGCGGAAGACGCCGGCGTAGCACGCGTCCTTGAACCAGTTCTTGTGCGGCAGGATGACGGTCACGCCGGTGTTGACGCCCTCGTCGGTGTGGATTTCTTGTGTGGAGGCCAGGATGCCGGGGATGTCGGTGATGGAGTTCTTGGGGCCGGCCGGCCAGGTTCCGAGGTGGAGATTCGGGAGGATGTCGCGGATGCGGCCGCGGGGGGTTGATTGAGTGGACATGATGGTGTTTATATAAGTCAAATAGGGTATTATTGAGCGTGCTGAGCTGCCCTTTGACCTGATTGATTATTCTGTCTCTCTTCCATTCAATGGCCTCCGTTTTATACTATTCGATTTGCACAACGACATAGTCCTCATCGCAAACTCGTCGTACGAAGGATCGCGAAAACCTCCACTTTGGCGGATGAATCATCATGAACCATTGTGAATGATTGGTCAATTGGTCGATTGGAGCGCTCCGACTTGCTTCATCAGGCAGGTCGTGCAAGGAAGTGTTGCCTACCGGGGAATACGTACTCCGCTTGCGTGGATGTAAGTGGATGTCTCGCCGTCTTACTGCTTCAAAACGCGTGGTCATCCAGCGCCTGCCTGAATGTTTGGCTCAGGCTGGAGTAAGTAAGAAAACTGCTCCCCTCAGGCAGACGCATTCGAGATGCATGACGGAGACCAAGTCTCAAAAGTAGGGTCACTTTTGGAGAGAATTCGATCCATGTTAGTGTACCTCGGCAAACGGGCTCCACATCTAGATCGCTCGGTCGGCAAGTGGAGCCTCGATGCGGGGGAAGACGCCTCCAAACACTTCCCCCCGGCGTAGTCGACCATGGGCACTCCAACATGGCCTAGCCTGAGCGGGCAGCTCTGTGCGGAGGAGCCGCGGGACCTGAATCCCGACATCGCTCCCTTTCCACCTTGAGTTTACCGAGAGCTTCACATCATCTCTCATCTCACATCTGTCGTTCGTGATTCTCATATCTCGCATCCAGTCTCTATCTCACTCAATCTTGTAAGCCTGTCATCTGTACCATAGTGCTACACCTTGTATATCAGCATCTCATACACAAACCGTCCACAATGACGCCTTCACTCCGCGTCATCCCCAACGTAAGTCGCCTCCTAACCCGCCTCACGAGCTCTCATCTCACGACATCCTCCAGGCCGCGTCCCGCGCCGTCTCTCTTCTGAGGACAATCCAAGCCCACCCGCCATCATGCCCCTGCCACACAAACCCAGGCCACCACCACAACCACTCCCCGCTTAACTTCACCCCGCGGCCCCTGCGGACCTCCTCTCGCGGCTTCGCAACCCCGGTCGACCACTCCCAGAAGGAGTACGCCTTCGAGATGGCCGCCTCCTCCATCCGCTTCGGCCCGGGCTCGACGCAGGAGGTCGGCATGGACTTCGCCAACATGGGCGCCAAGCGCGTCGCCGTCGTCACGGACCCCACCGTCGACGGCCTCTTCGCCATGCAGCAGGTCCGCGAGGCCCTCGACCGCGAGGGCATCAACTACAAGGTCTACAACCAGACCCGCGTCGAGCCCAAGGACAGCTCCGTCCGCGAGGCCATCGACTGGGCCCGCCCCTTCGCCCCGGACGCCTTCCTCGCCGTCGGCGGCGGCTCCGTCATCGACACCGCCAAGCTCATGAACCTCTACTCGTGCTACCCGGACGCCCCCTTCCTCGACTTCGTCAACGCGCCCCTCGGCAACGGCCGCCCCGTCGACAAGCCCCTGAAGCCCCTCATCGCCGTCCCCACCACCGCCGGCACCGGCTCCGAGACCACCGGCACCGCCATCTTCGACCTCGTCTCCAAGCGCGCCAAGACCGGCGTCGCCCACAGGAACCTCAAGCCCACCCTCGGCATCTGCGACCCCCTCAACACCCGCACCATGCCCTCCGCCGTCAAGGCCGCCTCCGGCCTCGACGTGCTCTGCCACTCCCTCGAGTCCTGGACCGCCATCCCCTTCCACGAGCGCGTCCCCCGCCCCAAGAACCCCATCCTCCGCCCCGCGTACCAGGGCGCCAACCCCATCAGCGACGTCTTCTCCTTCCACGCCCTGCGCGCAACGGTTAAGTACCTCCCCCGCGCCGTCCGCGACCCGGACGACTTTGAGGCCCAGAGCGAGATGCTCCTCGCCGCGACGCTCGCCGGTGTTGGTTTCGGAAACGCCGGAGTCCATCTCTGCCACGGTATGACCAGTACCCCTTGAACATGCCATAGAGTCCCGGAAATGCTGACCAACCCCCAACAGGCATGTCCTACCCCATCTCCGGCCAGAACCCAGGCTACCAGCACTCCGGCTACAAGGTGAACTACCCCATCATCCCGCACGGCGTGTCCGTCGCCGTGACCGCCCCGGCCGTCTTCCGCTTCACGGGCGCCTCCAACCCGGAGCGCCACCTCGCGGCCGCCGAGGCCTTCGGCGTCGACGTCTCCCGCGTGCGCAAGGAGGACGCCGGCGCCGTGCTGGCCGACGCGCTGACAAAGTTCCTCGCCGACCTCGGCGACCAGCCCGCGGGCATCAAGGAGCTCGGCTTCGGCACGGAGCACCTGGACGATCTCGTCGAGGGCACCATCCCGCAGGCCAGGGTGCTGATGCTCGCCCCCGGGTTGGAGACGGAGCTGCAGAAGGAGAGGGAGCAGTTGAGAGGGTTGTTTGAGGCTTCTTTGACGCATTAATATGTTGGGTTGGATATGATGAGCGTAAATATGCATTGCGAGATTGGAAAGCACGCGCAAGCTAGCATGGCAGCACCAATTGGAAAAGAAATGTCACGACGATGGTGCGATGAGTCTAATTGTTTAGAGAATTGACGAGTGCTTAAATATGACAGCCGGCTATGTAATCAAAGAAACTTTTCGCAAGGCCCATGGCCGTAGATGACTATATGTACACACGCAAATCCAGCAGATATGTCCGAGCGCGACAGTCTAGTAGACCTCGAGAATGTAGCGGTCCTCCTCCTTGAGCTTCTCAATCTCGTTGCGGGCGTTGACCTTCTTGCCGCTCTGCTTGGCCTCCGTGTTGATGGCCTCCATGAGCACGTCGGTGACGTCGGGAACGGGCCAGGTGGGACCGCAGAGGTAGAAGCTGCCCTCGTCCTTGATGTAGCTCTGCACCAGGTCGCGCATGGACTCGCGCATGCGGTCCTGGATGTAGATCTTCTGGGGCTGGTCGCGGGAGAAGGCGGCGCCGAGGTGCGTGATGACGCCGGCGTCGAGGTAGGCCTCCCACTCCTCTCCGTAGAGGTACTCCTCGCGCTGGTGGCGGGATCCGAGGTAGAGCAGGATGGAGCCGATCTCCTCGCCGCGGGCCTTCTGGAGGGCACGGTACTGGATGAAGGCGCGGAAGGGGGCGAGACCGGTACCGAGACCGGCCATGATGAGGGGCGCCTTGGGGGAGGCGGGCAGCTTCATGACGGAAGGCTTGACGGAGACGGTGACCTTGGCGCCGACGGGGAGGTCCTTGAGGTAGTGCGTGGCGTGGCCGTAGCGGGTGCGGCCTCTGGGGTCGACCCAGTCGACGACGACGATCATGAGCGCGACGGAGTTGGGGGTGACGGCCTGGGCGGAGGCGATGGAGTACTCGCGGCGCTTCAGGGGGGAGATGATGCGGACGAGGTCGTGGAAGGACGGGCGGGCCGAGGGGAACTCCTGCAGGATGTCGACGTAGGTGAGGGTGTCGACCTCGGAGCGCTTCTTGAAGTCCTCGGCGCCAGTCTGGCCGCCGAGACCATTGAGGATCTCCTTCTCCTTCTCGTCCGTCGCGAACTCGGCGAGGGCCTCGTAGAAGCGCTTGGGCGGCTTTCCGAGGACATCGATGTTCTGCTTGAGGGACTGGTAGACGGTGCGGGTCTCGAAGGCGTTGGGGTCCTCGCGGGCGGCGACCTGGACAAGGGCGTTGGGGTCGAGGCCGTACCACTCGATGAACTCGCGGACCTCGTTGTCATCGTTCTCGGCGTGGATGCCAAGGGCCTCGCCGATGTTGTAGGTGACGCCGGAGTCGCCGAGGTCGAACTCGATGTGGAAGATGTTGCGGTCGTACGTGGCGGGAGTAAGACGACGGTTCTCCTTGACGGTGACGGTAGACGTCTTGACGGGCAGCTCGGGGCGCAGTGTAGCCTGGGTGCCGTACGCCTCCTTGAAAGCGAGACCCTTGGCAGCAGCCTGCCAGTCGACAAGCTTGGACTCGACCTCGGGCTCCTCCTTGTCGAAGGCGACGAAGCTGTTGGGCTTGATGGTCGAGGGCAGAGCGCTGACGACGACGTCCTCGGGAAGCTCGGCCCAGGCGGCCTGGGACTCGACCTTGCGCAGGCACTGGCCGAGAGCGTCGACGCACTCAGCGAGGGTGTTGGGGAAGCCCTCAATGAGGGCGATCTTGGCAACCTCCTCGGCAGAGATGTCGGGGCGGGCGATCTGGAGGAACGCAAGTTCAAAGAGGAACTTGACGACCTGGGGCTCCTTCTCGAACGCAGGAGAGGCGGCAACATCGAGAACGTAGAGCTCAATACCCTTGTCCTGGATCTGCTTGCGAACGACAGGGGAAAGACGCTTCTCGACGTCCTCCTCCTTGAAGTTGGGGAGCTTCAGGAGAAGCTTGCCGTTGGCGTTGACGCTCTTGAGAACGTCAAGATCCTTGAGAAGCTTCTCGTCACCGACAGCAACGACGTCGGCCTCCTCGATGGCGTAAGGAGCCTCGACAGCCTTCTTGGAGCTGCGGATGTCGGTGCGGACGATACCACCCTGGGTAAGGTTGTCGAAAGACTCGTGAACGTACACGTTGCTGGTGGACTCGCGTGACAGCAGGTTGCTGACAACGACGGGCGAGTCGGCGGCGGCAGAGTCGTCGACGTCCCAGAAGGTGTACTGGTGGGCCTGGACCAGAGAGGGGAAAGGCTTGGAGTCGGCCTGGGCGTTCTGGAGCTTGCCAAAGATGTCGGCAACAGTCTGGGGGGTCAAGGCCTCCGAGGCGGAGTACTTGACGTCCCTGACAGCCGGGTCCTGGCGCCACTTGCCGGCGAAGGAGATGGCAGTCAGAACATCGGTGTACAGAGCAGACTGCAGAGAGCCGTCGTTGACGGAGATGTCGTCCTTGACCTGACCCAAGACGGAGACGGTGCGGACAGACTCGGGAATGCGAGCCAGGAAGGCCTCCTCGACGAAGGGGCGGTAGACGCGAACGTTGATGGCGGCAACCTTGGCACCGTCGGCAGCGAGACGGGTGACGACCTGCTTCGCGAGCTGAGCCTCGGCACTGCCGAAGACGACGAGAACGTTCTCGGCTTCGTCGTGTCCGTAGTACTCAAAGAGCTCGTAGTTGGTGCCGAGCTCGTTGTTGAAGAGCTTCAGGAGCTCAACAACCTTGCCGGCGTCGTCCAGCCTCTTGTTGAGAGACTGGACCTCGCTGGAGATCTTCTGGTAGGTCTCGGCAACGCCCTTCTTGCCCATGGGGTCCGAAGCCTTGAGGGTCTTCTTGGCGAGCTTGACACCGTCCTCAACGCCCAGGCTGGGGGTGAGAGCGGTCATGAGGGTGGCCAACAGAGCAGTGTGCTGGCTCTCGTGGTCCTCGGTGGGGTCGAGGTGCTTGTTGAACACATCCAGGAGGTCGGCGACCTTGGAAGAGATGGCGGCTCTCTCAGTGACACCAGTGGACTCGGATGTGATGTTCTTGTAGAGGTCGGCAATGCCGCTCTCGCTCAGCGCATCGACAATGCGGGAAGTCTCGCGGGCGAGTCTTACACCGTCGTAGATGTGAAGAGTGGGCATCAGAGCAGCCATGAGGGTCGCGAAGAGAGCCATGTGCTGGGTCTCGTAGGCGCTGGAGCTGGCAACCAGGCCGAGGCCAAGCTCCTCGGCGGTGCGCAGAGCAGTGTCGTAGTCGGAGACCAGGCCGTTTGCGGCATCGTAGTCGAGAGCCGCAACGTGGGCAACGAAGGGGGAGGCAACTCCGTAGAGGAGGCTCAGCTGGTCAAGAGCAGCGCGCAGGTTCCTCAAGCTCAGGGTAGGCGCGAGCAGAGTCTGGGGCAGGTGCCTCTTGGCCAGGTCGAAGTCTGGGCTGAAGATGTAGCCCAGAGCGAGCGCGCCGGCGCCGGTCCTGGTCTGCAGCTGGACGAGGTCGGTGGCCTCGCCGTGGATGTTCTTCTCCTTGGCCTCGGCCCAGGCCTTGGCGGCAACATCGAGATCGAAAGTCGGGGCGGAGTAGGAGAAGATCTTGTCGGACAGGAGGTAGGCGACCTGCTGAACGAGCAGCTGCGCAGTCACGTAGGTCGGTCCGGAGATGGAGGCGAGGGCCACGGGCTGGCCAAAGGGAAGAGTGGAGGAGACCTTCTTGACGGGAGCAACGGGGGCGGGAGACTTGGCATCGAGAACGGCGGCAGAGCCGCTGCTCTCCTGCTGCTTGAACTGCATCTTGGGAGGTTGTCTCAAGAGAAACTTGGGAATAAATACGGCAAAAAAGATGCGATTAAAGATGGTCAAATATAGACGCAAGACCAGAAGGAGAAGCCGGACCACGCGCAAGAGAATGGTCGCAAACAAGCAATTGATTCACCAAGGGCAAGCAAACTCACTTGCGTCAACCTGAACGAGAGCTTCTTCGTTCTAGGAGGACCTTGGGATCGTGGGGAGGAAAGGGATTGGTAAGTAAGAGACGAAGGTATCTCAAGGTCGAAGACTCCGAGCAGGGTCCGAGGGAATATAAAAAAAATATAAGCAAAGCAAAAGAGAGTGACAAGGGGGACTTGTCCTTAGCCGGGCTCACCTTACCAGTCCAGTCCTTTGCCGCAGATTACCTAGCAATGGAAGCCGCTGCTGCTCCTCCCGGGCCCCAGCCATGCTCATGCGCCAGTTGCGGTTCGTCAACCTCTCTCTTCTTGCTCATGTTGGCGTGCGAAACTCGGCGTTTGGAAATTGTTGAAGCTCGCAGAATTGACTAGGGGACAATTGCGCCATCGCGCGCCAATCAACGCCCCGGGGACATGTGCGGCAGCCCCACATTGCACCATTTTGGCTCCACTAAAGGTCCCTTGGCCGGACCTCTGGCTTACCAAATCCGCGTCGCGCCTGCAATTGCGTGCTCGACTTGACTCCTCCTCGTCCCGGAATTGCAAGCCTCAATGCGGTCTTTGCCCCAGATTTTGCTTCCTCGGTGGCAACCCCGTCCGATCGCAAAACTGCCGGACCCTTTTGTCCCCAGGCTGTCGGTTCCCCGGCCGGTTCTCGGTGCGGTATCCGCTCGGCCGCGGCATCAGTACCCGCCCCGATGATTTCACCACTTCCGCCCAACACCTCGGCCAGTTGCTGCAGATGTGACACGGATGACCCAAGTAACTCATCTATCCAAGGATTAAATGACTATCATCAATGATTATATGGGACTTGAGGATGACTCGAATTCCGGGTGATAGGTCAGGTGGCAGAAGGTGTAAGTGTCTAGAAGAGCTGTTAAAGTGGACGACGAAGAGGGACGACGAGAGACGACGGGTTCCTTTGATTCATTCTATTAGGCTGCTGCTCTCTATTCCTTTTCTTGTACATTGGGTTGCCCCCGCGCTATTCAGTGCATTTTACAGTAATACATGCCCAAGGGCAACAATGATCGATGATAACGTTACAGCCCACGCGGGCGGAATCCAAAACCAGGGACTTTCGTCCGCAGCGCCAGAGAGCTGAGAACCACG